TTAGTCAAACCTGTATATAAGAGTCACTTAGTCAAACCTGTATATAAGAGTCACTTAGTCAAACCTGTATATAAGAGTCACTTAGTCAAACCTGTATATAAGAGTCACTTAGTCAAACCTGTATATAAGAGTCACGTAGTCAAACCTGTATATAAGGGTCACTTAGTCAAACCTGTATATAAGAGTCACTTAGTCAAACCTGTATATAATGGTCGCTCAAGTTTACTCGACGCTGACGTTGCTCTGCGCAGGGTTTGACGATGTCACGGATTAACGAGGCGAGAAAGACGACGCCGAACCTGTACAACCTCAACATGGATGCTCAATTGTCGGGCATGATCTGCCACCTGCTGGAAGTCGGCGAAAACACGATCGGGAACAAGGGATGTGACATCACACTGCAGGTGAGTGTCGCAACACCGTCACGGGCGAGACGTAGCCGAGTGTAGACTCTCATTAACGAATGAAAGCAATTAATTAGAGTGAGTCGATCCTATGATTACGTTTGTTTGTGTGTGTTTTCAATTCAAGTGTGTAGTGCCAGCCAATCGACGAGTGAAACCTTTATATAATAATCATAATTATAGTAGTAGTAGTTAATACTAAGGATGATGATAATGAGGATGGTGATAATAATAATGTCAATAATAATAATAATGTTATTAAAAATACAATTATTCATGTAGTTTTAATAACAACAGTAACCATAACAGCAGCAGCATTAACAATTATAGTAATAAATAATAATAATTCCTCGTCACTCTCTCTCTCTCTCCTTCTACCCGTCCGTTCACAGGGACCTAGCATGCTGGAACGACACGCGAAGATAGTGTACAGCAATGTTCATGAACCGCACGGCATGTTCCGGCTGGAGCGGATGAACACTGACGCTCGCACGCTCGTCAACGGCGAACCTCTAACGGGCGACGAAGCAGAGGAGCTCCACCACAACGACAGGTGCCGCCATCTAGCGATGCATCCGAAAAACTTCCGCGTCGGCCGACCGATGTTTTTTGTGTTCATGACTGTGCTGCCATCTTGTGACACCTCCGAAAAACTTCCGCATTTGCCGCGGTTCGAAATTGAACGCGGTTCTAACCGTGTTGGCCGTTCCGATGTTTTTGCAGTCGTAACTGTGCTGCCATCTAGCGACACCTTGTGGAAACTTCCGCGTTGTGATGTTCGACGTGGTTTTAACCACCAAATCGTTGTTAACCTTCAAGTATTTTGTTTAGTTAGTTAGTCGATCGCAACTGAGCGCGCATCTCTTGTGAGACATCCCCGCTCCGTCGCTGATGTTTTTCGTTGATGCATCAATGTTCGTTGGTTCGCAGGGTGATGTTTGGAACGACACAGCTGTACGTGTTTGTGAACCCGCGGCAGCGAGACGACGTTGCCGTGGCGACGACGTGGATGATGCCGACGTATGAGAGCGCACAGAACGAGATCGCTAGTCACGCGGGGCTGGCCGTTTCCACGGAAACCAAGTCACAAGGTGCGGTCGCTGCTACGTGTGCCATTGTTACTATATACTGTATATACCTTTATACTATAGGTATACTATATACTATACAGTAAATACTATAATTATATCATATACTATATATATATACATATATATATATATATATATATATATATATATATATATATATANTCACCCTTCCTCTCCTTCACCTCCCTCACCCTTCCTCACCTTCACCTCTCTCGCCATTCTTCTCCTACCTCACCTCCGCACCCTTCCTCTCTGCAGAGCTGGAGGAACTGAGGAGGAAGCTGGAGGAGGAGATGAAAGCGGAGCTGGAGGAGAACGAACGCGAGATGGAGGAGATGCGCAAGTCCTACGAGGAGAAGCTGAAGGCCGCTGAAGAGTCCGCAGGGGTCAGTCAACCCTGTGTATAAGGGTCACTTAGTCAAACCTGTATATAAGGGTCACTTAGTCAAACCTGTATATAAGGGTCACTTAGTCANTATATATATATATATATATATATATATATATACATAATTATATAACAAACTCGCCCCTGTCAATATAATGTTATTATATTTCTTCCTGGTATCATTAGCTCTTGATACGGTCTAGGCAAGTTCAGCGCATTGATTTCAGTATCGAGAACGCTCATCTTTTACATCAAAAGCCCTGGTGTGGTCAAAAGCCTTAATTAAGTCTCCTGTGTGTGACACGTGTATTTTACGACTCTATTATGACTATAATTATAACTTATAACTAACTCTTAGTATACACGACCTAGTAAATTCTGGGATGAGAGAGAAGATATGCCTTAGACTGGTACCCTGTCCGTTCGCTTCGTTAGTAGAAGAGGCTCTACGGGACGGACGCAATTCTATACGAAATCAAAGGAAGCCAGTCCCGAGGCATGCGTTGCACGCACTCTCCGGCAGCGAAAACATATATACGCGTTGTCGAAGCCGTGGTATGTACTGTAGACGCGAATGGTCACAGCTGGACACTATATACTGGCTATGACGATCAGACTGGGTGCTTGCATGACTCTCCTGGTTATGCGAGCTGCTAGCGTTGTGGAAGTCGCAGGGATGCTGGATATGAGCAGCATGTATACGTCATAAAACACGTGCTGCTGCTTAATTAGTGCCAAGCTATTGGTCCGGGAAGCTGAGAGAGACGCAGCCATATATAAATATGTATTTATTTATGGATCATCCGATGGTGTGTGCGAACGAGAGAGTTTGACAAAGAATGAGCGATAATGAGAGAGAGAGAAATAGAAAGAGGACGAGAGAGAGAGAGAGAGAGAGAGAGAGACGAACGATAGATAGAAGAGCGACGAGGAGATGAGAGAAGACGAGAGAGAACGCGATAGATAGAAGAACATACAGATAGAAGACAACGACGTGAGAATTGTGATGAAGAACGGAGCTCGAGTGGCAAGAGACAGTAAAATGAGGAGAGGTAGAGGCGCGGGTGGTGAGAGCTAAAGAGAGAGAGCGAGAGCGCTGAGAGAGACGAGCTTGGAGTACAGTGTCCGGGGGCTGCTGAGGAGGGAGACGCGATGAGAGAGAGAAAATGGTACGATAGGAGCGTGGACGGCCGAAGCCGAGTGATTAGGTTGATAAAAGACATCTCGCTGGGCGCAGCAAAAAGACGCGCGAGAGCACACCATTAAAGAGGAGAGAGAGGAGAGAGGAAAAGAGGATGAGGAAAGTTGCAAAAAAGGGCGGGCGGAATGAGAGAGAACCTGGAGCCAAAAGGCCCAGGTGTAGTAGCACGGATCAGGTGCCGCCAGGAGGGGAGAGGATGGGTGTGTGCATGCACGGGAGGTAGATGGGTGCAGATGGCGGGGGTGTAGAGCGGGGGAAGGGCGGGTGAGGCGATGAGAGACTAGAGCAATAAGAGACAGCCGGAGCAGATAAAGCGAAGCATAATAACAAGAGGCCAAAACGAAGAGCAAAACTACAGCGGTGCGAAGGGTTAGGCAGAGAGAAGGAGGTGGCAGACGGCGACAGAGCAAGAGAGAAAGAGAGAGTGTGTGTGAGAGAGAGAGAGAGAGAGAAAGAGATAGAGAGAAAGAAGGAGAGAGAGAGAGAGAGAGCGAGATCGAAATATAGATAAAGAAAAAAATGCGCAAGAGATATCTATTACAGCCGTAGAGGAGAGCCAGCAGATGAAGGTGAAGCTACTGATAAATACTTGCATGGTGATGACACTGATCATGATACGACATCACACGTATGCGGCCTTCACAGGACAGAGAGGTGCTGCATCTGCAGCAGATGCTACCACTACTCACGCCACGTGTGACTACNGAGAGAGAGAGAGGGGGGGGGAGAAAGAGATTACGTGAGTGAGTGCGTATATTTGCGTATATATAATGTGTATGCAAGGTGCTGATTGCCTGTAGATGCTGTGTATGACAGCGGTTATATATGGAAGGCCATTACCGCCAAAACCTACCTATTTTAATCGCGCTAAAAATGTATTTTAAGCGTGATTCAATACCAGCCAATCAGAGGAGTGGTTTTTAATCGCGATTAAAATAGATTTAAAGCGCGATTAATAACCACCGTTCTGATTGGCTGGAATTCAATCGCGCCTAAAATAGATT